GATAAAACATTTGACTTGGGCATTTTTAACTACAAGCCTTTCACTTGGTCCTTCCTTCTCCTGCTAATATCATAGTAAACACCTTCTAAGCTAAGTAAGGTGAATTTAACGTTTCCATGAAGGAAATGTCAACATTTATTAACTCACAAACATCTTTTCATTATAGCTTTTATTGTATGATTCAGTTTTACAAAGTCAAAAGACAATGATCTGCTGTGCTCTCACACTTTATGTTGTGTATTATATGTGTGGTATTCATATATTATATGTATGACTTTTTGAAAATGCTAGACTGTACATAATAAATGTGTGAATATACTGTATATGTATAGCTCTTTTTTACTTTTTTAAAGTAAAATAAGTGTTTCAGTGATTCAGCCTTTTTCAATAAACCTTGCTTTAGATGACACAAATTGAAGCTTATGGTTTACATCTAATTTCTTACTATTTTATTTTCTTCTCAGATGAAGCGGTCAAAGCTCAAACAGGTAACTATCAACATTGTTCAGTCTGAATTTCTGATCATTGTAATGTGCACACTGGCTGAAGAGTACCAGAATAGCCCATGTTTTTTTTTAATTACTTTAAAGTAAGAATTCTCTAGGTCAAGTAAAGTATCAAATTTAAAAACTTTATCATTGTAAGAAATATATCCATACATAACCAAGGGCTGCTAATCTTTGTGTTATATGTTGACTTGGTATAATTTATGTACACATCTGTACAAAGAAAGACATTTTGTGTTATGTTCTGAAAAGGTATGTAGTATAATAAACTATTTTATATAATAATATTTGTAATTTGCAGTTCTGTGTTAATACCTTTGATAAATGTTAATACCTTTACTATGGGTGACGTACAGAATAATATCTGTGATATTCAGTTAATATATATATATAAAATAAAGCATTGTAAATGTGTAGCTGTAAAAAAAGCATTTTGTAAAACATGCTGTATAAACTATGTTAACACAGAATGTACTGATAAAACAAACAATGTATAGTAAAAATAATGTATCACAATGACTAAAAACACAAGATAAATTTTCTACAATGTATGGGCAACTCAGCAAATATTAGCTAAGCCAATTGTTTCCAAACTGTTTAATTCCCAGGACATTTCTACTCCTTTGGTATCACCAATGGAGACACAGCCACGCCCCGGATTGATGATGGAAGCTCTCCTGTAGTCTCCCTTGCTGTCAACATTCCCTTTTTTGGACAAATATACCACCAGTTATATGTGAGTAGAGCTGTCTCTTCACCTAAATAATTCATATACAACAACGTAAAAACTATTTCTAATTTAAAAATTTGAAAAACCTATAAAAAGGAAAATAAAGCAGTTTTTATAATCCCCAAGAAGAATGATGAAGACCTCTATAACATTATTCCTAAATTAGGAATGAACAGTAGATTGTGTGTCATGCTGGTGAAGTCACTGTCATAATGTAAGACATGGTGCTGTATGGCTTTGCTTGAAGACCTGAGTTTTGAGATAGCACATTTGTTAACTGCTGGTGGGAGCAGAACTGAGCAGAACTCACCTATTCCTGAGAATCTGGGGTTCAGATATAGAAGCTCGTATTGGACTGGGATAACATCATACCTAGACTGACTGAGCACAAGCCACCAGAGCTTCATACTCTATGCCTGGTACTGGGAATGGGATAAATGGATATTTAAAATTGCATTTTTAGATAACAAAATATAATCAAAATATTTTTAAAGGAAGACATGTCTTAGTAGACAAGTATGTTATTAAACAACTCATATCCTGTGTGATTTGAGAAAGAAAAATGGCATGGTTTTTATATAACAACTTCAATTGTGTGACTTTTGATGCATTTGCTGTATATCTGCTCCAGAAACATCTGAAATATATAGTGAAACCAGTCTTTTTCTCTTATTCATTTTTAGGTGAACAACAATGGCTTCATAACATTTGACACACCCATGAGTACTTATGTCCCCTATCGATTTCCGGCCCGCTCAGGCATTGATATCATTGCGGGTTTCTGGACCGATATCGACGATAGAAACAATGGGATCATCTCATACCGACAGGTTACCAGTGGAAGTGTCCTTCAACAGGCTACAAGTGACATCAACCAATACTTCCCTCTGATCCAATTTACCGCCAGATGGGTTTTTATGGCAACTTGGGATAGGGTGGCCTATTACCCAAATAGTGGCACGGTAATTCTTTTTACATGAACACAAAATAAATCTTACTACACAAAGAAACTATCAACACATAGGCAAAGAAATACAGTCCATCAATGTATAGTGAGTTGTAAAAGTATTCACCTTCCAATGATGCTGAAGTTTGCTGAATCACAAATGATGTATACATACATTTTTAAAATGAATAATTTAACTAGAACTTGAATGCTCAAAATAAACACTTTAAAGGTAGTACTTAAAACATCAATGCTTTCTTCTTCATTCTTATACATTTTAATCTACCCTTGAAAATTACTCCCGCGATGTATTCTGATTGATTTACAGTCACTCCATACCTTAAACATCATGCTTCTTTTTTTTAGGAAACCACATTCCAGGTTGTTCTTATCTCAGATGGGACATATTCTTTTGTTCTCCTGAACTATGGAATTATAGCAGCAACTAATAAAGTTATAGAGGTGAGTATAACCTTTGAAGGGAGTATTTAAATTACATAAAGGTCAGAATTAAGCTCCAACTTTGACCTTTGTAGAAGCTTTTTATGGGTTCCCTGGATCTATGTAAGTGTTTCCAGATTCATGGAATTAAGACTTGACCATAGTTTGATGGGCTTGGTAAAGGAGGTCTTAATGGTATTTCAAATCTTGTTTTAATCCTCATCCCTTGAAATCTATGTCATCCATCCATCTTCTAACCACCAGTCTGAGCAAGGCATACAGTACATAGACACAAACACGGACATGAACACACTCACACAGGGGCCACTTTTCCCAGAAGCAAATTAAGTTGCCAGTATGCCTTGGGACTGTGGGAAGAAAGTGGAGCACCTTGCAGAAATCCACATGAACATGGGATACAAGCTCCGAACACATAAAACCCCAGGTCCAGAACTGAACCCAGGCCCTAGTCATAACCTTGTTAGAACCTCCTTTTGATCCTCTCCTGTTTGTTGACTTGGGTTTCTACTGCTTCCTGGTCTCTTTTCTTCAGAATATATTAATTTGATGATTGTTATACATGTCCCTAGATCTAGGGCACCCAAATTGTACAATGACACCATTCAACGTTGTTCCCAAGACATGGTAATTAGCTTTTAGTGAGCCAGTGATATGTAGTAACTCAGTGATCTTAAAGTGTTAGAATATCTGAAACAACCCATAGCTCCTAAACCTCCAAATAATGTCTACAAAAATAAAACCTCAACAGGTTGGATTCATTTCTTAATGAATTGATTAATTTCTTGACCATTTTTTAATATTCACTATTTCCTTTTGTTTTTAGAAGTAATAACGGTAATAGATTGTGTTTTAAGGTCTATATGTATTGAAATGCAAAAATTAAGTGTTATTTGTTCAACTTTTCATTTATTGCATTTCTAATCCATCAGTAAAGTAGAACCTCAAGGTTGAAGGAACAAACAGTTCTCTTTTCTTTTTCCAGCCAAAGATACGACATTTAAAAAGTGTGCAAGTGCTGTACTGTATTTTCATGGATTCCTGGTTGTTCATTGTGATGACTGATCCAACAACAGACAGGAATGCCCAATCTGCTGTACTGTCCAGGAATGATAGTCTTTCTTTTCCCCCTCCTTCAGGCTGGATATGACACAAGAACCTCAGACCATCATTTTGTCATCCCTGGATCCTTTCAAAGCAACATTACCAATCTGATGTACACCAGCAACGTCAATGTTCCGGGACGCTGGGCATTTCGTACTGATTCTGGAAACACCGGCTGCATGTTTAATGGTAGTGTACCTGATCAATGTGTTTATGTTAATGGTGATGATAATAGTGCTGACGGTGATGGGAATTCATGTAGCAATGACTGTGCCTATGTTGATGATGGTAATGATGTTGAAAATGAATATATACTGTAATGTGTATACAGTAAATGGCCAGTTGAGGTAAAAACAGTTAAACCCTATTTCTTTAAAGGCAATCCGGTGCAGGTGGGATACAGCTTTTGGAGTGACCATACATGCCGGAGTAAGTGCACCTGTGTGAGCAGTGGCAATCTGAGATGCCAAACTCAGCCGTGTGGCTTCGACCAGGTGTGCCAGGTCTCCACTTTCCAGTACTCCTGCCAGACTGTGCCGAGAAGGACCTGCACCATTGCAGGGGACCCCCACTACTACACCTTCGACGGCAGACTCTTTCACTTCCAGGGCACCTGCACATATGTTCTCTCCCAGACCTGTGGCAGCAGAGCCCAGGGGCTAGCGCCTTACCGCGTGGAGGGCAAGAACGAAAACCGCGGGAACACAGTGGTGGCGTGGACAAAGCTTGTGCGGATTATTGTCTACGGAGAGGAGATTGAGCTGGTGAAGGGCAACACAGCTCAGGCCAAGGTTTGTGCTGGGTAACCAAACTTTTAAAAATTTGAAATGTATTTGAGTGAACAGATTGATTTTTTTTTTTGCTTTAAATAAGGGCTTGTAGTTTTCAATTTTAATAGATCAACACCAATCAAACAAACCCGACTCAAGCAAGTCAGTGTGAATCTTGAATCGGTTCAGTGTTGAAAAAGAAAAAGTGAAAGCCTTTTTTTATCTTTTGAACTGAGCTTATTGCAATTTCTGATGTCACTGTTTCCTACGTGTATGCATCTACAGGTGAACGGCAGCTTTGCCACAGCTCCTTTCTCTCTGCACAATGGGACTGTCCGTATCTATCAGACTGGATTCTCTCTGGCAGTCAGCACTGACTTTGGCTTGACAGTGGCATATGACGGCTACAGCTATGTTACCATCAGTGTGCCATATGACTACCTCAATGCCACCTGTGGCCTCTGTGGCACCTTCAATAACAACCCTGCAGACGATTTTCTCTCCTCTTCTGGCAGCGTCCTGAGCTCCGATGTAAACTTTGCCAACAGCTGGCAGGTGTACAGTGATAGTGAACCAGGCTGTCAGCCTCCTTGTGTGGGGGCATCTTGTGCAGTGTGCCAGCCACAACAACGAACCCTCTTTTCCAGCATTTCCCACTGTGGCATACTGGAAAATCCTGTGGGAGCCTTCAATGTCTGCCATTCCAGGCTGCCCCCCAGCTCTTTCGTAGAAAGCTGTGTCTATGACTTATGTGTGGGTAGAGGATACCAGCCTATCTTGTGCCAGGCACTGAATGTATACGCTACGCAATGCCAACAGGAAGGACTCCATCCTGGTCAATGGAGAAGACAAGGATTCTGCGGTAGGAGCATTGTCTTTGATTAAATTCAAAGTAAAGACGTACTGTATACTTCTCTTCATGCTTAAGGATCACACAAATGATATATATCTTCCACTTGTCACTTTAGTGCAAGTTTTAATTGCCATCTGTCTCATCTATCAGTTTTTGTGTATTGGTGTGAACTGTTTTTCTACACTGCTGTGTTCTGGGACAATCAGATAGAAATACAGAACATGATTCAGGTTTCTTCAGACGCCTGATTTACAGTTTAATGGGCTCTTACTGCTGTTTTACCAGTTGGCACTGAGAACAATTCACCCACATACATGTACCAAAACATTAGTGTGTGAGAGAAGGCATCTTGAAAGATAATTACCATGATGTATTATTTTACTCCTTTTATGATAAAAATATGAATTAAGGAATTGTGATAAAAATATTGCATTTAAATAGTTTAGTATTTAATAGCCGACAGCTACATTTTGGTTTAATCAATTACAAATGATAATAAAAATGATCAGCCTTGTTTGTTTGAATTCGTTCCAGAAATCGCTTGCCCTGCCAACAGCCACTTTGAACCTCAGGGCACAGGATGTCCTGCTACATGCGCTGACCCTCAAGCGCCATCCCACTGCCCTCTGCCCTCTCAGGAGAGCTGTATATGTGACACAGGGTTTGTTCTGAGCGCAGGGACGTGCGTTCCTGCGGCCCAGTGTGGCTGCACCTTTGAGGGGCGGTACTACAGTTTCGGCCAGACCGCGCTGTTGGGTGCGGATTGCGGCCGCAGGTGCACGTGCCAAAATGGTCAGATGAGCTGCCAGGCTCATGCGTGTGGCCCCCAGGAGGCCTGCCGCATTGAGAATGGTGAGCGAGGCTGCTACCCCCTGAGCTATAACATGTGCTGGGTGGAAGGGGCCAGGCGGTACCGCACTTTTGACGGGCTGACATTCGAGTACCCTGGAGCCTGTAGCCTGACCCTGTCCAAGGTGATGGGGCAGTCCTCCTTGCGCCGCTTCCTGGTGACTGCTAAGAAGGTACCCAGAGGCACACCGGGAGTTGAATTTGCCCGAATCCTGAGATTTGAGACCAGTGGTGTGGAGATTTCCATTAAAATGGGACCAAATCCCATTGTACAGGTTAGTGCCTAGAGCTTTGCTTTTTATCCTCACCTGTATTAGCATTTCAATTTGCGGATACATATATTTGCTTCCTTTCATTGCTAAATCTTGTTTCCATTACTGTACTGAAAATGTACAGTTTCCACTAAGGAAAGTATATTTTCCATCACAAAACCACAAAACCTTGTCTAGCAATTAGAGGGTTTAATAATAAACAGAGGACATACTTGTACAGCATAAATAGCTACAAACTAAATCAGTTGAAGAACATTTTTATATATTCTAAAGAGAATGGCAGGAAAATATTTTTTTGTACATTGATTCTTGGGAGTCTTGACTGTGGTGGGTCCCTCAGAAAGCCAATGTGTCACCTTCTGTACTCTTTCATATTTCCAGGTGGGTGGACAGAGTATAAGCCTGCCTTTCAGAAGAGAGGCAGAAGGGGTCCAGGTGTACTTGGCCAGTTTGAGCCGGGTGGTAGTACAGACTGACTTTGGTGTCCGCATGGAAGCAGACTGGCCTCACCTGGTGAGGTTGACGGTTCCCAGCACTTACAATGGGACACTTGGAGGGCTCTGCGGGAACGACAACGGATATGT